AAGAAAAATAAAATTTTTCAACAAAACTTAGTCCCCTTAGTCCCCTTAGTCCCCTTAGTCCCCTTAGTCCCCGTTTTTATAAGGAAGAGGAGACAAGGTACCAAAGAATTCTTGAATTCTGAATTTAAAGAATTTCTTAGTCCCCTTAGTCCCTTATTTCAATTTGAAATCAAGTGCTCTTTTTTTTTTTAAAATTCAGATTGAAATCAAATAACCCATTGTATGCTCGTGGTGTAATTCAACAAGTAACATCAGCTCGTGCTGAATTAAATGAATCAATAATGATTCTTGAAAATGTTAAAGCTGCTATTGATGAAGGTTTAGTTGGTGTACGACAAAAAGGAAGTGCTGAATATCGACAAAAAAAACTGATAAAAAAAGAAAAAAAATAACTTGTATTATAATATAAGCAAAAAAAATTATTTTTTTTTACCAAAAAGAAAAATAAAATAACATAATAACAACTAGAAAAAAATAATAAATTCTTTTTAATATTTATTTAAGTAAAAATAGTATAGATGTTAATTGTTTGTTTATTAGAAGCTGTTATTAAACGTTGATCTATATAATAAGAAATCAAACATTTGTTTTGTAATAAAAACCAAAACGAAGAAATACTTTTGTGCAAACCGCAAGATCGACACTGTTCCGCCATTGAACTGTGATGTTAATAAAATTGCTCTATCTTGTTTTTTTAGCTTTGATTAAAATTATTCCAAACAATTCGACGATTTCCAGGATCTAAATCAAATAAATTTGTGTTTTTTTTATTAGTGAAATTGTTTATTTATCCATTTCATTTGTTAGTTCATCCTAAAATACGAATAAATTGAGTCGTATTTTTTTTTATGTATTAAAAACTCATTCAACTTACCAGTAAAATGAAATCTGGTTGTCCTAACATTGCAACAACTACTGATAATTTTCTGGAAAAAATTTTTCTTTAGTTTAAAAATCATTTCTTTGTTATCATACCTTCTCATTCCTCCACTATATGTTCGTAAAACTCGATTAGCAAATGATTCCATATGAAATTTTCTTAATGTTAAATTCATAACATGTTCACGATCTGTTATACCAATTGATTTCGCATAACACATAAGTGCTTTACGACTTGTTAAATACCGATCAACAACATCAAATTGTGGACAATAATCAATTGTACCAGGATGTTCACGAGCTTGTTTACGAATGTGTTTTTCGTATAAAAGACAATCACCACTTGTTGGATGAATATCACCCATGACAAATATATCAATAAATATCACAAAAAAACTTTCAAAACTAAATTGCCGGTGATCATTTTAAATGTTGTTGTTTTACCCTATTGAAAAAAAACAAAACTATTGGAAAGTTTTCAATAATAAAATTCTACTTACCGCTCCATTTATTCCAAATAAACCAAAACATTGACCTTTAGATACTCCAAAACATAAATGATCAACTGCTAATAATGACTAACCAGTTACACGACGAAAACATTTTGTTAAATTTTTTGCTTCTAATATATCATGATTTATTTCATTCGAATATAAAATTCGATGTCGTTCTTCCATAACATCTCTATCAATAGATGTTTCTGGTGGTGAAATCTATAACAAATAAAAAGTTTTCTTTTTATTTTCAAAATTTTCTGGTTCTTCTTTTACTTTGTAAAAACAATTTGGTAATCGAATATCTAAATTAAGTATATATGTGATAATTAATGCAATAAAACCAATTAGAAGCATTGCTAGAAATCTATCATCAATAAGTGTCATTGAAAATGGATTTACATAAAGATTAGTATTCATTGTTGGATCAGAATAGTGGCGGAGCCAGGGCGGGGCTGGGGGGGGGGGCTGAGCCCCCCCCCCCCCCCCAGAAATTTTTGAGCCCCCACAGAATTGAGACGATTTAGCATGAAAATAGTGAAATATGCTAACTTTCAGCTTGAAAACGTGGCTGAGCCCCCCCAGAAAAAAATTTTGGGGGCTGAGCCCCTCCCAGAAAAAATTTCTGGCTCCGCCACTAGATCAGAATCAGCCATTAATTCATTATGCATTAAATGAACAAGACCAGAACCAAGGCAATAAGGTAGAAATAAGAGAAAAATACGTGATAAAATCGATTGAACACGTACTATACCAGACACCCATGAATATAATGTTAACATTAAATCTGCTATATATTTTATCATTCCCGAAAACAATCAAAGACAAAATGCAGCCATAAATGATGTACCTGTATTTTTGAAACATCGAACAAGACAATAAACTAATGGTATTGATGACCAACCATATAGAAACAATAATCAAAATATTGCTTGAGTTATTATAACAGGTGAATTAAATGCTGAAATATTAAATATTTTAATTAAAGCCATTGTTAAACTGATTAAAACTAAATAATAAACTAAATCTCAAATAAATGTTGATAACCAATAAACAAAATTATTTTTCATTTAATTATTGAAAGAAAAAAAAACATTATTTTTTTACCTAATGGTTTTACTCCACAAATAAATATTAAACATTTCTCTGGTGTCACATATTCTCGAGCAAGATAAAGAATAACAGCAGCTGATATAAATGTATATGTACATAAAACAGTGATTGCAATACCAAAATCTGATATATGTGATTCAAGTGATTGTTGAGATAATAAATCACTATTTAATGTAAATGGATGACTATATATTGATATACCAAATTTTCCAGCACTTTTTCGATCAGAAATTTTTGAACAATGAATTAAATTATTCATTAAATTTTAAATACGATGGTAATGCATGATAACATTAAAGGATAAAGATAATATTTAGTTCAGTTTTTATAAAGATTATTATCATACTTTTATTATTAAACCAAAAATAATGCATGACCTTGATTATTATATTCATCTTCAATTTGTTCACAAAATGTTAAATCACCATAACTAAAAAAAACAAAAGATCACTTGTTTTTAATTGTATGAATAAAATTAATGTTTCATACCGATTATTGGCAAAAGCATGATGATTTTTAAGTAAATGTTCATTGAATGGAAAATTATTTAGATCATATAACTAGAAATAAATAATATTAATGAAAACTTTTTTGTTAAAAATTTCAACAAATCACAATACCAAATTTAATTTTTCGGATTGATGATCGTCTGAATGAACCAGGCAGATAAATCTAATCATACATGAATAGTAAAGATAAACAAAAAAAATTAAATTATTGCTTGTAATGCTTGTGTAAAACATTCTGAACATCTTGCATATTGATTATAATCAGTTGAATCAGGTAGGACATAAAAATTCTTCTTTCCTTCACCAAATTTATATGGTTGTTTATTTGATGCTGGTGAAGCATCATTTATACAAGTTGTACTAATATTTGGAAATGAATTATTTCTTAAAAATGATCATCAAGATCTCGTCGTGCTATTGGATCATTAATATTGAATAATCTGTAAACAAACAGATGTAATTTAAAAGAAAAAGAATATTATTGATGTTCAGGAATAATTTTAAGTAGATAAATGTCAATGGAAGAATATAAAAAAAATAGTATGAAAATTTTTTCTTGCAAGCCTTGATTGAACTAGCACGGTTATTCGAAAGAAAAGACAAACGATGAGAACTTTCATCAAGAACAATAATGAACAAAAAAAAAAAATCAACATTTCATTTAATCGCGTATTCACTTTCTGATCATTATTATTATTGTTGTTGTGATGATTCCTCTTTTTTTTGATAAATAAGTACATAAGCTGCTTTACTTACTAAACTATTTTTATCAATATCTGATACATATGAATCATCAAATGAATGTCATTTATAATCATTAATATTTGTTTTTGCATGTACTGTATAATATCCACCATCTAAACCACCAATATGATTACTAACACCAATTAAATCATATTTTCCTTTGGTTTTTTTTCAGCAGAATTTAGAACAAATTGCGATAAATTTAAATCACATAATGGATAATCAACAAGTAAATTAATTTATAATTAAAACGTTTTAGTTGGACAATTAGAACTTTTGGTAAAAGCCATAAATCAGTTTTTTTGTTGCCTTTTTTAATTCTTTACATGTTGGATATTTGAGTTATAACCACGATCCAGCAATTGGCAATTCAAGGAATTCAATACATTCAATCATCTTGTATAACTTACAAATATACAGTTTGACATTACCATGAAATTCCTGAATTTTTCTTGAATTCGTTGAATTCCATTCAAATGTTTGGTAGAAAGATATCCTCACCGTCACTATCGATATTAATTTTGAAATCAAGAAATTCAAGAAATTCTATTGAATTTCTTGAATTGATTGAATTTCATGGTAATTTCAAGCTATTTATATCTAATTCATATATGATTATTGAATTCTTTGAATTGCCAATTTCTCGACGATGGTTACTCTTAACAAAATTGCTTGTAGTATCATGAAAATGTGCGTGTAGTATAGCGCCATCATTTCGTTGGACTCAACTTTTGCAAAAATAAAATCTATCCATTAAATATACCTTCTCTTTTTATGCCTTTTTCTCGATTTTTTTTTCTGACATTTGATCCAAACTGCGTGCATAAGTTCATTTGATATTCGACATTGACATTGACTAAAGCGAAGCGATCAAAAAGCAGAATATGATTGACTATCTATGACTTGAATATGATTGAGACCGATGATAACCCATTCATATTCATATTCATTCTGATCGATTCAGTATTTGGTCTGAAATTTTGTCGATTATTATTAACGGTCATTTCAAGACAATAATCGTGAAGCGGAAAGGCTTCTATATATATGTATATATATGTAAATAAATTTGCACAAGTTCAATATTCTCACCGATACGTCAAATAAACAATGACCTGCTTATCAAACACAAGTATTTAACTATTTATTAATATAAATATTTTGTTCTATTGTTTTGTATAGAAAATCTTGTCGGCTTGCTCGACTTACCAGATGAGATAATTTTATCCATTATGAATAAAATCCAACCTCGAGCTGTATTACTCTATTCTATGATTGGTACCAAAAATATTCATTTGGAACAACTTGCTCTTGATCAATGTCATTCGATCGATCTAACCTCTGATTATTTTGGTTCACCATATGAAATGATTATTCGAGAATTCATATTATCTACTTTACCATGTATTTTTAATTATATTGAATCACTTACAGTCAATCTTGTACATATATCAAGTCTTTATCAGCTTGTTAAAAGAATTGATGATAAAAGTTGTCTCAATAATTTAAAGCATTTAAAAATAATGGCCGGCCGTTTGCATCGTAATGCAGGAACACCTATCACATTAAGTAAGTTATACATAATTGTTCTCTTTTTATTTAAATATATACACCTCGTTAGACAAGAATCGACTTAATTTATAATTTCAGGATTTTGGAAATCTAATCCTGATGATTGAAAGAGAATTTATGTTTGAGTATATTTTCGATTCTATAACATACTTTCAGTATAGAAAATCAAACAGCTGAATATCGTTTTATCTCGATTTCGTTCAAATGAATTTTTTTCTAGAAATTCTACTACTGAAATTTCAATGTCACTTTTTAATATGATGAATAAAATTCATCTAAGATGAATAGATAATGTTTATGTTTGAATACTATGAACAGATGATAAATTAGTTTCATAATTTTTGGATTTATATGGATCGAAAACTTATTTGATTTGTGTATTTTTAGACTTTTATAGTGATAACGAGGTACGGCGTTATTCTCTATTCTCAGACATACCTCAATTTTTCTATCTTTCTTAGAAACTTATTGATATACTTTCATTCTACTGTCATTCACCAATAATGTCATTAATTACCTCGTTTGAATTTGACCCTGATTGTGTTATATCCATTCCATCAAGTGATGAAAAATTGTTCTTTCCTCAAACATCTCATCTTACTCATATTAGTATTACATTTCATCAATTCGGCGATTGTGTTCGTTTATTGAATCAAATAGGAACACAATTACATTCATTCGTTGTGAGCATGATGCACGTCTATCTATCTGAAGAATTAGATTTATCACAAATATCATTGGTAAGTCATTTTTTTGGTGTAATTTTATATTATTTTTTATTTAACTTAGATATCTTGTCCTAATTTGAAAGAATTAAAAATGACAATATATAGAAATATTTTCGAGTATGAACAATGTATTATTCCTTTTTTACAACGTTTATCAAGTGTCGAACATTTAACATTATTATTAGCTATCGGTGAAAATGAAAATGGACCAAATCACTTTGTTGATGGATTGGACTTACAACGAGATATTATTTCATATATGCCTCATTTATGCCAGTTTGATTTTCATATTCGTTCAATTTTAAAAGATGCTGCTCATATAAAACTCGATAAAATTCGTCAAAGTTTTTTTCAATATCAACAATCTATTGATTGTACAATTGATTATTTTAATAATCGATATGGTCAATGTCAAATCTATTCTCTTCCATTTATTGGTACTCGTCTCGACTTTATTTCGAATCGATTTCCATTATTCGATGTTGAAAAAAGATTTTCAAATGTTACTATATTATTACTTTTTGATGATGTCAAACCTTTTGAACATGGTTTTTTTCAACGTGTTGCACAAGCTTTACCTCATCTTAAAGTACTTGAAATATTCAATCTTCTTGAACAAGAAGAAAAAAGTACGACGACAAATAATTCTATTGAATTTCGTCATTTAGCAACGCTTATTTTGCATGATATTCATGCGGATTATGCTGAACAACTTCTATATCGAAGTTATCTTCCATGTCTAATCGAACTTGCCATTCGTAATAATGTATTGTTAACAATAATTAATCAAAATCAACAACAAGTTAAAGACAATTGTTCAAAAGTTGAAACTCTTATTATTGTTGAACCATGGGCCTATCCCAATAGTACTCATATAAACTTTTTTCCAAAGTTAGGCATATTTCATACAATGTAATGTTAATTAATAAATTATGTATAAAATAAAATAGAAAAGTCAATTTGAATTAAGATAATCATTATCTTGAAAGAAATCTTATCAGAAAATGACCATTTTATGATGATGAGAGAACATCTTGAATTTGTCAAACTATTCATGAATTAAAAACAGTACTCATTTGTTTTATTCTAATGAGTAACAAAAAAGTATATAATGATTTTCTGTATTAATTATTATGCCTAAACTATCTAAAATACAATGTCTTTTGCCAGCATAAAAGTCAATTTCATAATAAATTCAATCTGAAAAAATAACTTTAATAGTTTCTATTCGGATTGAATCTAATATCTTCATTCGAAAGTTATTTATGACTTTTGAAAGATAAGATATAGTCGAAGTTTGATTAAATTTTCGTTTCTCTTTTTGAAAATATGACTCGAGTTTTAATGTTATTTCTCATAGACATTTTTACCTTTAAATATGATCAATTTATTGATGAAAACATTGGATCGGTGTCCTGATTCAAGAGAAAAACCGACAATATTGTCAGAAAGAATACAAGTCTATTATTTGATAGTGATAAAAACGAAAGCAATCGAAGTAATTAAAAAATTCATCTCTTTATCCTTGGAAAACGAGATATATTGATAACATTCTACAGACTATTTGAAAAGACAAAAAATTTATGACAATGATTCATTTTTATAGATTTAGCTGTATTCTTCAGAAAGATAGGGTAGTATCGTTTGTGGATACAATGATGTAATACTGCGACTCATGGATCTCTACAGAAAAACACTACTTTTTTTAAAATAAAATTAGATGTTAAATTTTGCATGATAAGAAGGCGTCACCATGAGCTATGTCATCCCTGATGTAAATAACTCTTTGTCTGAGATGAAGTACACATAGATTATAGTGGCCACTATTGCTGCAGTTTTATTCATTTTGTACAATATCGAAAATAAAAATAATTATGCTAACCTAATGAAATTTTATGGCTCATCTACCACACAACAAATTATCATCTGACTTTCATTGGATTCTTTATACAATGTTGGAAGACTGAATTGAGCATTTGCTTATATATATGAAGATCATATTGGAGATAATCTCAGATAGTCGGTGTGTATTTTTTCATTGAATGCATGAGAAGTGAAAAAAACCATCTATTTACAACCAATAATTTTAATCGAAATACAGATCAAAATCGATACGTTTTATTGAATAGAATTGTTCTGTACCACATGACGGCACCGTACATTATCTTTATCTAATTTTTCTTTAGTATTTGTTAAACAAATCATTTGATCAGTTGTAAATGGACCTTGAAGACTTTCTGTTAAATTTTCATTTGTTATATGTTCCCAAAGAATAGTCGATGAAGCTAAAAAACACAAAAATAAAAATTCATTTTTCTTTTATTTAAAATAAAAATTCATTTTTACTATTTGTGTCAATTGAAGATGAATTTGATTCAGAGTTACAGATGAAGAAATATCACTATCACCATACATATCAAATGTTGAATCTGTTATTATTTTTGAAGCAGTTGATGATTGAAAACGATCAAGTTTTGATTGAAGACGTTCATAAATTTCTGGATCAGAGGTGCAGAATCTTCCTTGTGCGGCCCCCCCGGAGGGAGGAGATTTTTAGGAAACTTGCATTACTCAAGGAAATTTTGGAAAACTGCTAGAATGGGAAAGTTTTGGAAAACTGTCAGGCTGGGGAAGTTTTAGAGATGCAGAATGTGCCACAAAAGTGGAAATTTTCCCCAACGAAGAAACCTTCTTTAAGAATGTTCCCTGCTATTAAAATGAAAAATATCGTTTGGTTTTTACTAAATCATTAAATCTGTGCATGAAAATAGTGTCCTAATTTCCACACAATAGAACCGACAATAAAAATTTTTTTACAGTCAATAGTTTTTCAAAAAGTTTCCCAAACTCAAAAAATTTTCCCCAACGCACGTTGACGCAAACGAGCAAACGAGGAGATTCTGCATGTCTAGAAATTTTAAAAAAAATGTATAAGAAAGGAAAACTTTGTTTCCTTCTTAATTAACTGTTACAAGATATAATTCATTTTTCTGGAATTTTGCTTTACTTGTATGCTCTGTTCTTGATTGTGCCAAGTACACATATTGTTATCGATGTATCACTTCTTGATAATTCTTCTTTCGCAGATTTTCTTACACTCTTTTATAGTTTTCTAAACTATGTCATGGCTGAAGGAAAGAATTTTAAGAATTTTGTTCAACATAGATAATTCTATTACTTGTTAACTCTTTCCCTATAATAACGGTACATCCACTGAATCTTTTTTTCTATGTTCTTATACACAAATGGAAAGCAATAGGAAATAAATATTTATAAATTGAATATAAAACTGCTATGAAAATTATCGTTTTGAAATAATAATTGCAAAACGAAAAAGAATTCCAGTTTCCCCCGACTATCAGTCAGTATCATCAGGAATGATATCACCATTAAAATATATCATCATCTATTCAAATTAGTTGCAACCGATTCAATTACTTTGAACCGTTTGAGAAAACAACAGATAGAAAGAATTCCTATGTTGTGTACGAACAGTAACAAACAGAACAAAATGTTGAAATGTTTTTTTTATTTATATTTTGTGTAGGAGTGTAGCCAAGTGTTTTCTACAGGAGAACTCTCCATAGTAAAAAAAAAATTTACTTCGCGAAAACGTGACTCTCCCTATTCCTCTCAAGTAATTTGATGAAAGTAACATCTTTAAACTACTCAGATATTTGTTCACCGTTGAGTAGACTGAGGTGGGATAAAAATTCTGGACATATGCATACTAGAAAATAAATTCTGATTTTAATTAGTTCGTTTTGATTATCTTTAATGGCAACTAGACATTCGAAACATAAGTAGATGCATATATAAAGACCTGCTAGTTTACAATTTTGCACAGACATCGTTTTAGATCCTTCTAAATATTTGTTCTTAATGCTGTAATCTAAATCAAAAAGAAATCTGAATATATATAGAGAGACAGAGGAATGAAATACTCAGTCTAGCTGACTACTTTTTTCTCTTCAGTTGCTTAAAATCAGTTGAACATTGAATGGTAATTTTGCGCAAAGACTTGGTGCACATAGGTTAAAAATTATGAGTAGTCTAATTACCGGAACTAAAAGAAATTGGATGTAATAGATTATACATTGTTTACAAGAACAAGAGACTATTTCTGATAATGAACTGATTTTTAATTGATATTGTATTAGAAAAATTGTTTTAAATCATAAAATAGAATATGATAAACGAGAAAAAATAATATTTACTAGTTTTTGTTCATTTATAATAAATGAAATACTATTTTATGTGCGCTGCAATTCGACAAAAAAATTATTTAAACAGGTCGGTACTTATATATTTCATTGTTAATATCTTATTATTTGTGATAGATTGTATTCATATCACATCGAAATCCAAAAAATGAAAACATTTTTATATTCGCTTTTTTATTTTATTCAAACGATAATATACATAAAACTTATATCTTTCGTTCGCGACACGAAACGCCCTCTTTCATATGTAGAGGTTATGTGTCATTTTAATGCAATGGCGATTTTGTGTGTGTACGTCGAAGTGTGTGTAGATTATCTCAACCATATATATAATGTCATGTGTACATGATAGATCATTCAATTGAATCTTAGTTTATTAACGAAGACCGTTATTTTTTTCATCATATTTTAGATCAGTCACAATGGTACAAACACGTCGTCGTAAACGTGGCAAAGTTTATTTACATGGAATCAATCGTAAACGATTATGGTTAAAAGAAAAACGTAAACGTGAAGTACGTGTACGTCATTGTCCATTGATACGTTCAAATTGGGAATTAAAACATTCGGTACCAACAAATTATCATGAATTTGCACTTGTTCATGATATAAAAAAATCGTTTCCTATACCACAAACAAAAGATTTAATTAATCCAAAAACTCTTAAAAAATATATTAAACAAAAAGAAGAAAATTCTGATAATGATGATGATAATGATTGCCTACCTTTACCAATAATTGATTCAACAAAACAAAAGAAAAAACGTCGACCAACTAAAGTTCATATTCGAGATGAACTTGAAAAAGATGCAAATACAGAACGTGTTAAATCATTGAGAATTTCTGATCCAGATCGATTGTATGTTTTTTTTTTATTGAAAATTAATTAAATATTTTTTCTATTGTTATTTATATAGATTTTGTATTTATATGATTGAAAAACATGGTATAAATTATGAAGCTATGGCTCGTGATCATCACAATGATTATCAATTAACAGCACGACAACTTGAAAGAAAAATCGAAAAATTTAAAAAGATTCCAAAAGTTTACGAACGTTATTTAGCTGAAAAAGCCGAAGGAAAAAATTTTCTAGCTGAATTTGAAATGGATGATTAAAAATAAAAGAAAAAGAAAAAAGAAAAAAAGAAAATCAATAATTTTTCTTTCTTGCTCTTGTTATTTGTTTCAGATGTCATGCATTATTCTTCAACTTGGTCAATGTGGAAATCAAGTTGGTCAATGTGTATTTGATACATTAATTGAAGATAATCTTACACATTCAAATCAAACAAAATTATCAATAACAAATGATTCATCAATTAATGATTATATTCGACATTCACTTGATCGATTTTTTATTCAATATGAAAATAAACTTACTGCACGAGCACTTGTTATTGATACTGAACTTAAAGTAATTGAACAATTAATGAATGAAAAATCTCAATCAAAACGTCATTGGTCTTATGAAAAAAAATGTGTTATTGAAGGTAGAATTTTAATGGAAGAAATTTTTTTCTTTCAATTTAAGATAAACATAAATTAAATGACAATCATCTTTGTAATAATAAAAAGATACCTTAAAAAAGTGAAAGAACAGATGAGATTATTTGAATTTATCAGCAGTAAAAATTCTTCCATTTCGATTTATGAAAGAACTATCTAAAGTGATCTATCGCTTTTGAACTAATATTATGATTACATGGAGAAGTTCCGGAAACTAGAATAGTTTGAACAGAATGGAGATTTCCGATGCATTTTGATTGAAATATCGAATTATTAGTAAATTTTTCGTGTAAAGACTGCTGCGACTTTATGAGAAAACTATATTTTCAAATTTCGACATGAAATTATGTACAAATGAAGATTCTTCAGATAGAGTAGTTCATATTACAATTTTAATAGTTTTTAGGATATTGTATTTACAAGATACTAAAGTTTTTAATCTATCGATATCTTCTGATAGAGATCATTAGTTCAAAAATGATGAAATATATGAGGTTATTCCTTCAGCAGTCAGCATGTAAAGTTATTCACGACATAAGAGATTCTATCCAAAGGGTATTTGTATTTTATGTAAAAAACCAAAAGATAAGAAATCCTTTAGAAAAAAAAGCTGTTTGATTTTCAACAAGTTTTAGAAGTATGAACTAATTCATTTTTTGCTCTAAATACGACTATATTGATTAGAAATCTAGCAAAAATCTTAAATTGATCGAAATGATATTAGTTTTACTCTTGACTATATCAAGTAAAAATCAAGCACAAAAACTAAACTGATCAATTTTTATAGTTTGAATTAATTTATTCTATTCGTAAAAGTTTCTTGAAAGAAAGAATAATTCTAGAATGATTCATGATTGATGAGTTGAATATTATTTTAGTAGATAATAATTGTAATCCTTTGCTCTTGAATTCAGTTTGAGGAATAATTTATGTAATCGTTTTTTCTGAAACGAATTTTTATTATTCGTTTATTATAGTTGGATATTTGCTAGAGGACACTATAGACTATATATGATCGTATAATATTACTAATAGATCATCGAATTAGGTTTATGCAAAAAATGAAAATGTGTATGCAGAAAAGTATAACACAAGCTTTTCAAATTTATATATTTTCATATAGATGACAACGGATTTATATAGAAAAGTAATATCTTTAATGTCTATCAAGTACTCTAAGAATTAAGTGCCGAAGTACTGTTTCTCCTATTTGTGTTTAATGAAAGATATCCGCTGTTATCGTCTGCTTTTATATTAATATTAATATTTTCATCTTCTGCGTTTTTGTCGACTTCTCAGTAATTCTTTGCATTCTTAACATGATGTATAGGTTCCTTTGACAAAGAATCATGGTTAATAAGCTGTCCTACTATCAATGAAGTAAATATGTTTTTTGTTCTGGTCATCTCAACTAATAGTCGCCACGCTGAGCACCGTCACTAGTGAACATTCGATTTGTAAATCAATGACTATTTTTTTTATAAATACTCGAATAAGAACAATTCATTAGATCACTATTAGCAGACGATATCTACTGTGAATAAGTGAATATTGAAACAAGAAAAATATATGAAAAACATCACAGTGACATTAAAAAAAAGTCAAGATAAGACAAGTGAACCATATATATGAAATAAGTCATCACCTTGATTTGTTAACAGCTGTCGCCTTATAAAATAGGTTTGATTGTAGCGGATTTTAGCCTCTATATGACCATAGTCATAATATATAATAAATATCTTTTATTACAAAAGAGCAAAAAAAACCATAGAAAATTTAATTTGAATTTGAGACGAAAGAACTATAACTATTCATACTAATTAAACATATATCAGAGATATTTTCGAAAGAATAATTTAAATTCATATCTTATAGTTTATCGATAATTTGAAAAAAAAGGTCGTCTCGGATCCGGCAATAATTGGGCATGTGGTTATCGAAATGGTTCATTAGCTGAGGAAAATATATTAAATAGTCTTCGATGGCAATTAGAACATGCTGATCGAGTGGATACAATTTTACCCATACTTTCTTTAGCTGGTGGCACAGGTAAAAAAAGAAAAAGAAAAAGAAAATTCATTTTCTATTAAAATAATCTTTCACTTAGGTTCTGGTCTTGGTGCGTATGTTGTTGAATGTGTTCGTGATGAATTACCACGTTCATTTCTTTTAACAACAATTGTTGTTCCATATACAAGTGGTGAAGTTGTAGTACAAAACTATAATTCATTATTAACACTTTCACATCTTTATCATTCTGCTGATGCATTATTAGTTTTTGAAAATGATATTCTTCAACAATATGCAAAAAAACTTGTCTCATATTCTGGTATTGATCGTCCAACAAATATTCATGATATGAATAATATTTTAACACGACATTTATGTAGTTTTCTTCAACCTATTTCAAATAAAACTATATCAATATGTGAAATAAATTATCTATTAGAATCAGTTTTACCACATTCATTTTATAAATTATTAACACTTCGTTGTGTACCACAATTAAGTGATCAAGCATTAGATTTTAGTACATATAATTGGTCATCATTAATAAAAACTTTATCACAAATGTATATTAATAATTCTTATTTAGATGAAAGACTTAATTGGTTATTAAAACCAAATCAAACACGAACAAAATCTATAGCAAATTTATTTTTAGCACGTTCTTATGATAAAGAAGATATTGATAAAGATTTAAAACAATATTTTAATCATGAAACATTTTATTCATCATTTATTTCATCATCTGATTATTATTATTTATTTAATTATCGTGATAAATCTTATTTAAATTATGAAAAATATTTATCATTGATTAGTAATTGTCAAACACCTGTATCAGCACTTGATAGAATAGTAAACAAATCATGGCAATTATTTGGACAAAAAGCTTATCTTCATCATTATTATAAATATGATATTGATGAACAAGAATTTCTTAATAGTTTTGTACAAATTGAACAAGTTATTAAATCTTATAATCAATTGTGAAATGCCACAAAAAAAAACAAGAGAATTTTATTAGATAAATAGATCTATGTGACTATTTCAATGAATTTGTTGTATAAGATTCTTTTTTTGTCGGTATAAATTAAATAAAAACAATTAGAAAATCAAATTAATTTTATTTGAACATCTATCTAAGCTATTTGATAAAAGATTTTGAATATTTTGAGGATTCATCATTGACTAACATAACAATGACAAACATTTGCATCATTTTATTTGCAATAAATAGAAATAAGGGAAAGTTATTAATTTGTCAACTAAACAAAAAAAACAAAAAAAGAGAAATTGAACGTTTTGCATATTATTAAATATGTTAACGAACATTTGTTTTGTATATCAACTACTGATATT